CATCGCGAAAACACTCAAACCAAAAGCGAGGTGCCTCCTTGAGACCATAAACAGCATGACGAAAGAGACATACATGTCCTAGAGGAATATTGGACCCTAGAAGCGGTTATATATATACTGTCTCAGATAAAGAGCCATGAAGAAAAATATTTTTAACATCCATCTGGTATAAGGGCCAATGATGAGCAGCAACAACCGTAAGTAGAGTACGAACAGTGGGCATCTGAGCAAAAGGATCAAAGGTCTCCTCATAATCAATACCTTGTTGCTGAGTAAAACCTCGAGCCACTAAACAAGCTTTTCGACATTCAATGGTACCATTAGGACGAAACTTGACCTTATAAACTCATTTACTGCCAACAAGAGAGACCCTAGGAGGACAAGGAACAACATCTTAGGTATAAGCTTGCTGAAAGACTTGAAATTCCTCACCCGTAGCCTATCGCCACTCTGGAATTTGAACTGCCTCTTGAAAGAACTTTGGCTCAACAGTAGTATGAATGGAAGCAAGAAAGTTATGAAAGATATGTGAATAAGAAGTAACCAGAGCATACCAGGCATGCATGACATGTGGTTGTTTGCCTCGACGAAGAGGAAGAGGAACCTCAGGCGGGAGAGATGTTGGCGTAGGTGCATGGAGATCAACAATATGTTCTGGAGTGAGAGTTGTGTCCACAGGATAGGGATCAGATGGTGTAAGAGAATGCTCGAGTGAGGAAGAGTTAACAGAATGAGATGAAGAGATGTCAGGGATATCTCGAAAGGAAAACTGAGGTGAAGAAGTGGGTGATGCAGCTGATAGGGAAGCATGATCATTAGAGTGGAGGAAATTAAAATCATCAGAAGCAGAATAATATGGAGAATCCTCTTCGAACTAAACATAACGAGATATATGAACTCGACGAGTTGCGGGATCATAACAACAATAACCTTGATGTTCTGAACTAATTCCTAAATTAACACAAGAAACAGCTCTGGGAGATAATTTATCACGTTCGTGAGATGACAGAAGAATAAAACATCAACAACCAAAAATACGGACTAGATCATAACGAGGAGGATGAGTATAAACACGACTATAAGGAGTAGCACTAGAAAGAGAGCTAGATGGAGTTATATTAATAGCATGAGTCACGTTGAGAATGGCCTTAGCCCAGAAATGATGAGGAACAGAGTAAGAAATGAGCATGGATCAAGCGGTATCGAGGATATAATAATGTTTGCGTTCAGCAACACCATTTTGCTCATGAGTGTAGGGTTGAAAGATAATCTCATGAGAGGACATGATAGAGCGCATGGTAGAGGATAGGTACTCTTTGGCATAATCAGAATGGAAAACTTTAATACGAGATTGTTATTGAGTGAAAATCATAGCAGTGAAGGCTTGATAAGCAGTAAGTATGTCAGAGGGATTCTTAAGTAGGTAAACTCATGTAAAACCAGAGAAATCATCGATAAAACTAACATAATATAAGTAGCCAGATGAAGAAGGCAAAGGAGCTAGCCCCCAAATATCTGAATGTACTAAATCAAATAAGGAAGTGGATACAGATGTACTCATTTTAAATGGTAAAGTAGTGAATTTTGCCAATTTGTAACCAATAAATGACTCAATATTAGAACTAGATGATACAAGACCAAGTACTCTAGACTGAATAAGACTCTCCAGCCTTTCATTAGACACATGACCAAATCGTCTATGCCACAAATTGGCAGAAACCGAGATAGAGGGTTTTGACGAACAAACAGAAGCAACAAGAGAACGTGGGCGTATGGACTCTGAATGTGAAGATATTCCAGAAAATACAGCTTGTGCCTCCTACGACCCGCCCCAACTGTCTTGTTCGTCTGTGGATCCTGCACAATACAAGTATCAGAAAAAAATGAGACAAGCATGCCAGTCATACATAAAAAGCTAATAGAAATTAAATTCAAGCACAGCTGAGGAGCCACATAGACGGGACCAAGTGTTAGACGTCCAGATGGATCATTTTGTAGGGTAATAGAGTCATACTGAGTGATGAACAATGGTTGTCCAGCAGCTGTGTAGATAGAAGGAAGAGAAGATGAAGTGAAGACAGAGGATGAAAGTGAGGCATTACAAGTCATATAAAAGGAACATCCCCAGTCAAAAATCCAGAGATCATTCATACCAGAGACCGAAGGATTAGCTGAAGAACCAGCAAAATGCATACCAGAGAGTTGTGTGGCGAATGTAGAGGTGATATGCTGAAAAGCATCAAGTTGACGGTGAAGACTTTCAATAGCTTGAATAGTAGAGTTTGAAGTAGTAGAAGGTATATCATTGGCTAGCAATCCTGGTGTACGAGAGGGTTAAGACTGAGGGGGTCGCCGACCACGACTAGTACCTAAGGAACATAACTCAGGATGAAGCTTGAAGCATGCCTCAATGCGATGTCCTTCTTTCTTGCAATATTTGCAAGAGATCTTAGATCGAGCCTGGGGAGAGGGAGCCTGTGGAGAAGTATGATTCATAACAGGAACAATGACGGGTACAGACAGAACAGTCTCGAGTGAAGAGGTAGGAGTGTTTGTTGACAACTTGAGTTGTGCTGCCTGCTGCCGGTTCTCATAAGCAATGAGAGCTAACATAACTGAGGCCAAAGTTGAAAATTGAGGCTGATGAAGTAGTTGATCAGCCATAGTTAAATATTCAGGAAAAGACTAAAATAGTTGATGCACTGCATATCATTCGTACCAGGCTACCCAGTATTCATATGTGGAATTACGTCCAAGAAGCATGGAACGTAATTCTGTCCAAAAAGCTTGCATTTGTCCAGACTGTAGAGAGGAACTACCTTTGCGTTGTAGAGCAATACGTTGCAGAAGATATGTGTCCCGTGCACCAGAACACTTAGTGAAACGCTCAGTGAGGTGAGTCCACATGGCTCGGGCAGGAAGCAAACCAATCTTGATAGTGAGACCACAGCCAACACAGCGAGTGTGATAATCCATGACACGAAATTCCTCCAACCGTCAGTCTGAACTCTCCTTGATATAGAGAGCACGAGCGGTCTGAAGATCGACATCACCACTGCTAGATGCAATAGTAATGGATGAAGCAATAGTGCTGATGGACGGTGGAACCGGTCCCGTACTGGTGAGATGATCAAGCAAACTAGCGCTACGTAAGGCATTGGTGATAATGATGGACCACCCTGCCCAGTCACTTTGATCATTGAAGGACAAAGGTGGTTTGAGAATCTTCTCTGAAGGAGCCATGACAGCAATGTTGAGACGGATGTTAAGACGTCGAGATGGATTGAAACGGTAATACCGTTACTGACTGCGAAACGACAATGCCATTCGTTTGAGGCCGAGAGACGGCTTGAAACGGCGATGCCCATTAATTTAAGACCGAGAGACGGTCTTGAAAACAATGATGCCGTAAATTTGAGACCAATAGATGGTCTTGAAATGACGATGCCGTTAAAATAGAACCCGGAGGTTTAAAATAGAACCCAAAGGTTAGAATGAAACCCGAAGGTTTAAAATAGAACCCGAAGGTTAATGTAGAAAACCGAAGGTTAATGTAGAAAACCGAAGGTTAAAATGTAACCTCGAAGGTTAAAATGGAACCCGAATGTTAAACGAGAATGCGAAATGCATTAAGATGCTGCAAAGCAGCAATGCCTAGATTTGGCAAAAGAACGCAGAAGCGTTAAAAAAATTATTGGAAGGGAAATAATAACCCTAGCTCTGATACCATGTTAAAGTAAGAGAGAAAGAGAGAAAGAGAGAGAGAGTCTTGGGTAAATTTTTCTTTAGTTGAATATTGAGTGTACACATATATTTATACAAGTAGAGAAGAGTGTGGTGTGTTCTCACAACCAATGTGGGACTAAAACCCACTACAATACACTATTATCAACAAAAAGAAACATATTTTAGAGCAACAAGAATACTTTTTTGTCAGCCCCGAATACACTATTATCAACAAAAAGAAACATATTTTAGAGCAACAAGAATACTTTTTTGTCAGCCCCGCCGCAGATGTTATCCTTGTATGCCAAGAAATTCTCTCCAAGCAATGCTCTGCGTCCTCACTTTTGATACTCATTTTAAGTACTCCAAAACCAATTACATTCAACACAAACATTCAAAAGTTATTAAGTGTCTTTTATGTGGATGTGGACTATTGGTTTGCTATACAACAATTTTAAGGCGTATGGCTAATAGTTTTTTGAGTTGTGTTAGGGGCACACCCCCAACCACACCCTCTACCACACCTTCTCTCCCTCTATAGTACATTGGGCCCCATATCAATTTTTTAAAAAGAAATTGATGTGGGGCCCAATGCACTATAGAGGGAGAGAATGTGTGGTAGAGGGTGTGGTTAGGGGGGTGCCCCTAACATTTCTATAGTTTTTTGCAACATCGGAAATATGTCTTTTATTTCCTTTCATAATTGAGCCAGTGATTAAATAGGCCACAATGGTTGTTTATTAAACCCGTAAAATTGCTTAATAGGTTTGACCTACAAGACATAAGTAGGGTGTGTCCGGCAATATCTCAAAATTAGATTTGGTACTATTCTGAGAAAAACTCATTTTAGAAAAAAATTAGATCTGATCCAGTTTTGAGAATAACTCATTTTGGGAAGGGAAAAAAAAAACCTTGATCGAACTAGGTCAAAAACGAGTCATTAAACTGATTCTATTTTGATCCGCCTCCTACTGGATCAATAGAACTAGTTTTGTGCAGTTTCTCGAACAGCCCTAAGATTTTGAGAAGTTCAAATAGCTTAAACGAGGATAATATAGAAAAAAATGAAACCACGAACAAAAAATACTCCCATCACGGCTAATCCCTGCCACCTTTTATTCCCATAGACAATTTCTCCTGTGCTAAAAAGCCACCGATTCAGCTTCCTTCGGCCCATTAAACAAACAAAAGCGCCCCCGGTCTCTTTGGACTTGGTATTCACAGAACAAGCGGCATTTGCACTGGGTATCCTAACGCCTAACACACATAAATTCACCTCAATTGTCTCCTCATGCTCCCGTCAACCAAAACACAAATTCACTCATTTTCACCTGAAATATAGATTTCATAGAAAGAAGAAGGTGAAAAGATGGCGATTTCAGTGAGCAGAGCATCTTGGATTGTAGCTGCAAGTGTTGGTGCGGTTGAAGCGATGAAAGATCAAGGAGGATTGTGTAGATGGAATAATGTGTTAAGATCTCTCCATCAAAATTTCAAGAATAATATGGGTTCTGAAGCTAACAGAAGGATTTCTTCTTCTTCTTCTTCTTCTATTGCTAATTCTGTTGATATATTGAGGAAAGGGAGGAGCATTGGAGAGAAAGCTAAGCAGTCTGAGGAGTCAATGAGACAAGTCATGTACTTGAGCTGCTGGGGACCAAATTAGATGCGAGATTAGCTACTGACTGCTGTGTAGTCATATGATATGGGGTTTGGATTTTCGAAATCCTATTGATTTTGTACTCCCTTTCAGGCTTTGTAAATGTGGAAAGGATGACAAGAAAGAAAAATAAGTTTTGACATACTAAACAGAAGAGATTCGAAGCAGAGCATTTTCTGTAACATGATTTAGAAATCCACCCCCCAAAAAATATGGTTTTTTTTTGTTAAACCATCTTTAAGCAGAGGAATTACCTGGTTTCCCTCTTTCGTTCTGTTCTCCATTTTAGAACACCCAGAAATCGATCATCACATTTTAGTTAAAATGTTAACTCTCTGTGACAATAAAGAATAAGTTCGCTCTCTATGCCCTAATCTCGTAAAGGAATAAAGAAATTAAATTAAAGCCCAATAGAGCGCACTCGATTGTCAATTCCAGATTCCTAGCTCGTTGTATTTAGGAATTCATCTAAATTATCAACTCTAAATTCAAGATTCCTAGCTCGTTGTATGACTGCTATGCAAAATTTTATTGGAACATCTTATATGAGCATTGTGTTCTTAGTCATAAAAGGGTTTTTCTTTGTTTTCTTTTCTTTTTCTTTTGTTTTTTGTTTTTTGTTTTGTTTTGTGTGAAAATAAAAGGGACAACAGAAGTCTCTTAGCGGCCCATCTATACTTCTGTGAATGGCTTAGAATTCACTGCTCGCGTGCGAAATGTTCGGATAAAAGTTGTATTCTATTACCGCAAAGCTTTTCTCTACAAAAAAAGAAAAGAAAAAAAAATAGGGTCATGCTTGTTTCCTTTTGAAGCTACTTGCAAGTCACCTTTGCGTTTTCCCGATAACGATAAATCTTTCATATTTTGAAATTAAGCCCTCAAATCATTAGAACATGTGAATATGGGTACAAGACCATGCTCTTGTCCATGTTAGGGTACAAGCAGGGGGGGTACAAGCATGGGAGAGCCATGCTCTCTTGTCCAATCCACACCCATGGTACAAGCATGGGAGAGCCATGCTCTCTTGTTCAACCCACACCCTCTTGGTATCCTATAAATAGAGAGGAAGAAAGAAGAGGAAAGTGTGAGGAAAAAATCAGAATTTAAGAGGAAAAGAAAGAGAGAGGAAGAGAGAACTTGTAATAGTTTGGTATTCTCCTCATAGTAAAAACCCCCTCCCGTGGACGTAGGTAAGTTTGCCGAACCACGTAAATCTCGTGTCTGTATTGTCTTAACTGTGAGTTTGTCATTGCTTGTAGGTTCCCTCGACATTTCAGTCTTAGAACTGATGAGAGGAAGAGTGTATATTTCACATGAAATATTTCACTTTCTATTCTAGTTTCCTTTGAGAAACAAGAATTTTACTATTTATTCTAGTTTCATTTGAGAAACAAGAATATAGAGGTTGACTTATGCTTTTGTGACAACAAAAGCCAGTGCTATTTCTCAGGTGATATCGCTTCCGCGGCGGTGGGTGTGACTCTACGCCCAACAATTGGTATCAGAGACCTTATTCAAATTGGCGGTGGTTGAGCTACTGATCTGAGGTGGTGGTTGACACAAGGTATTTGTTGAAATTCCTGAGAGAAGCGAATTTATTTATACAAGCGGAGAATGGCGTCAACAAGTAAAACAGTTAAAGTTAGAAAGTACGATATCGAAAAGTTCAATGGGAAGAATATTGATTTCTCCTATTGGAGGATGCAAATGAAAAACTTGTTGATTTCGCAAAAGTTGCACAAAGCTTTGGCGGGAAAAGAGAAGAAGCACAATGACATGTCTGATGAGGATTGGGAAGATCTAGATTTGGAAGCATGAGCGTCGATTATCCTATGTGTTGAAAGGGATGTGGCTTTCTTGGTAGATGGAGAGAAAACGGTTGTGGGCATGTGGTTAAAGTTAGAGAGCACCTTCTTGACGAAAAGTCTAACAAACCGGATCTATTTAAAATCCAAATTGTACACTTGCAAGATGAAGGAAGGCTCATCAATCCGGGAATACATCAACAAGTTCGATAGGATAATATCGGATTTGAAGGACGTCGACGTGACTGTAGAAGACGAGGATCAGATGCTTCTACTACTTCTATCTCTGCCGAAGTCTTATGAGAATCTGGTTCAAACACTGATGCTTGTGGGTGACAGTTTATCGATGGATGAGACTAGAACGACGCTTGTAGCATATGATCTTTAAAAAATTGTAACTAGTGATATAGCCACTGATGGTAACAAAGAACAAGCGCAGGGGTTCTTCACCAGAGGAAGGGGCAATGAGCGAGGAAAAGGTAAGGGAGGAAAGTCTAGATCAAAATCAAGACTTCTTGCGAAAAGATCGTATTTCAAATGCGGTGAGCTAGGGTATTTTAAAGTCAATTGTCCTAACAAGAGAGTAGGTGGGAAGAAGAACAACAACAAGACTGAAAGACGAGAAGGCAAGGAAGAGGCGAGCTACGCTTCAGGGGAAGAGAGCGATAAGGAATGCTATGTCGTCACGGGTGGTGAGGATACCTCCGGGAAGTGGATACTTGATTCTAGTTGCTCTTACCACATGTGTCCAAATAGGAAATGGTTTACTACCTACAGGAGCATTGATGGTGGACCGTATTGATGGGAAACAACCATGCTTATAAAGCGGTGGGGCTAGGCGATATCAAGATCAAGATGTATGATGGAGTGGTTCGAACCTTGACGGATGTAAGGTACGTTCCCGACTTGCGGAAGAATCTTATCTCAGTTGGTGCTTTGGACTCCGGGGGTTACAAGATTGTAACAGAGAACGGAGTGAAGAGGATTGTTTGGGGTTCCTTAGTAGTGATGAAGGACATTCGTCACGGCAACCTATATACTCTCTTGGGTACGACTGTGACAGGAGATGCAGCGGTTGGAACTGATGGAAGTGATGGAGACCCATGTGAGCACACACGGTTATGGCATAGGTGGCTTGGGCACATGTCAGAGAAGGGTCTGGATCTGCTTGGTAAGGAGGGTTTGCTGAAGAATCTGAAGAAGCCTTGCATGGATTTTTACGAGGACTGTGTGTATGGAAAGGCGCACGGGGTTCAATTTCTGAGAAGCAATCACAAGAGCAGAGGGAGTTTAGATTATGTGCACAAGAATGTTTAGGGTCCGGCTTCGACAACTTCTAATGGAGGTTCCAGATATTTTATCTCATTCATAGATGATCATTCGAGATATGCTTGGATTTATTTTCTGAAGCATAAGAATGAGGTATTTGAGATATTCAAGAAGTGGAAGGCGATGGTTGAGAATAGGATAAGAAAAAAATTGAAGACATTAAGATCTAACAACGGTACAGAGTATACAGATGGTGCCTTCAAGGAGTTCTGTGATCAGGAGGGGATTGCCAGACACTGGACAGTTAGATCCACACCACAGCAAAATAGGATCGCGGAGAGACTGAACCGAACACTACGGGAGAAAGCAGTGAGTATGTGATCTTATGCTGGTTTGGGCAAAGAATAGTGGGCAGAATCGATTGCTACAGGTTGCTATATAGTGAATTGATCTCCACATTCAACATTAGAAGGTGATACACCCTATCGGGTGTGGTCAGGGGAGCATACAGATTATGAGAGGCTCCGAATCTTCGGGTGTACCGTCTACTATCACGTCAACGAGGAAAAGCTTGACGCGAGGGCCAAGAAGGCAATTTTCTTGGGGTATGCAAATGGTGTAAAAGGCTATCGCCTTTGGTATACAGAAGATTCGAAGTTCGTGATCAGCAGGGACGTTACCTTTAAGGCTATCGCCTTTGGTATACAGAAGATTCGAAGTTCGTGATCAGCAGGGACGTTACCTTTGATGAGAAGTCCATGATTGCTACAGGGACGTTACCTTTGATGAGAAGTCCATGATTGCTAGGGTGCCCAAGGATGATGGTGTTGAGACTGTTAGGAATTCTAAGTCCCAGGTTATTAATATAGAACCTAAAGACCAACCAGTTTCTAGTCATGTTCAAGTGGGAAATCAGGTAGATGATGAGCTTGAGCAGGATAGCTTGGCTTCCACTAGACCAAGACGAGCATACAAGCAGGTACAGAAGCTGGGGGCTGATCAACCCCTGAAGCACTATGGGCAGGTTAATTTGGTTGAGTACACACTCTCGGTGGAGGAAGATGATCTGGTCTTCTTCAAGAAAGCTATTCGAGATAGAGATAGCGAGAGTTGGTTGGCTGCGATGGAGGAGGAGATGGAATCTCTCCCGAAGAACCAAACATGGGAGGTGGTCCCATTGTCCGTAGGAAAGAAAGCTATAGGTTGTAAGTGGTTGTATAAAAGAAAGGAAGATCCTTCAGAGCTCGGTGGTACGAGGTACAAGGCGAGGCTAGTGGCTAAGGGGTTTGCACAAAGAGAGGGTGTGGATTACAATAAGATATTTTCTCCGATGATGAAACACACTTCTATTCGGGTGCTATTGAGTATTGTTGCTCATGGTGATCTTGAGCTGGAACAACTCGATGTCAAGACGGCCTTCTTGCACGGAGACTTGGATGAAGAGATCTACATGCATCAACCTGAAGGCTACAAGGTTAAGGATAAGGAGCATCATGTATGTCGCTTAAGGTAGTCGCTTTATGGATTGAAGAAATCTCCTTGACAGTGGTACAAGCGATTTGACTCATTCATGCTAAAGCATGGGTTTTCCCGAAGCGACTATGATTGTTGTGTTTACATTCGGAAGCTTCGTGGAGGTGATTATATCTATCTCTTTTTATATGTAGATGACATGCTTATTGCATCGAAGAACAAGGTGGAGACAGATAAGCTGAAATCTCAACTTAGCAAAGAGTTCGAGATGAAGGACATGGGCGCTGCAAAGAAAATACTGGGTATGGAGATTAGAAGAGAGCGGACGAATCGGCGATTATTCTTGAGATAGAATGACTACATTGAACGGGTGATCGCGAGGTTCGGAATGCAAAGTGCTAAGCCGGTAGTGACTCCATTGGCTCCACATTTTAGGCTCTCTGGTAAACAATCTCCCAC